GTTAAACAAAAATGCTGCCTGGCAAACTAATGAATGAATATTTGCTGTAAAATTCTTATCAGTGCTATAATTATAGCTGCCAGTTTGGACACCAATTTTGATTTCATTCCTGTAAGTCGCAAGCTCAATCCTTTTTACCCACACATTTTTTTCACACCAAAAGTGTTTTTGGTTAGATACATATAAAGAAAGTAGCAGGTTAATTCTCAACATAACTTGTATATTTATTCTGTTAATAATCAATCTCTTTTTTTTTAATGTAAATATATACAATTTGAGAGAAAAAACATTTTTCTATCTTTATTCTTTTCTTTTAAATAGGTTAATAAGAAACTAGAGAAAAAGTATTCTGCATACGTGTATATAACTTTGAGATAATTTCATTTCCAACATACTGATGACATTTTAAGTGCATATTCAAAAAATGTTTAGCTTGCTTGTTGAAATAGTTTTACACTTCAGAAAATATAGCTTGTAAGTGTAAATAAAACAGGGTTCTTCCTGTAGTTTTCCAACTACAATGAAAAAGAAAATGGTGAATTCTGAAATTATTGGTCGGAGCTACCTATCTTATAAGACACAAAGATAATATAATGAATTTCACTTCTCATGCAAACAGCTTGTTAACAGTTTTTGTTTTATAATTTGCCTCCAAAGATATACAAGGGCTATCTGTTCATAGTAATTTCTAATTTTGAGATGATAAGACTAGAGGGAGGACAACTAGTCAACAACATCCACCATCAACTCTTGGACTACCCTTGTCTGATCATGGCCCCAAAGCGTAGAATATGAGCTACGAATTCTAAGATTCACAGTCCGGACACATTAACTAGTAGGCCAAAGCCAGATTTATTGTTAACAGGATAAAAAAAAACATTTTACTTATTTACTCTTTTTTTATTAAAGGATAGAATTTTCAACATATAAATGTAAAGAAAAAAAAAGGGACACTATTAAGTTTTGGAGTTAATCTTACCATAAATTAATTCATAAAGCATCTGAAAGCTCATGGAAAATGTTCTACATCATTTTTCTTAAAACCTATTAAGCAACATGATATAAAATTCAGTAAGATATTAATTGAAATAAAAAAGCAGTGGTATTAGTAGCTCTGGACACATGCGTTACAGCAAAAAACAAAAATCCAAAACTATTCATGCAAGGTGGAAAACATTTATTTAACAGCCGAATACAAAAGCAAGGAACAAGTTACAAAAGTTATTACTGTTGTAAAAATCAAAATTAGTTCTAAAAAACTATCTATAATAATTGGAAATAACAGTTTCAGATAAATAAATCCTTTGCATATTAAAATGATAAACTTTCTGTAATAAGAGGGCAACTGCTTTAACATAGAAAGACTCGTATCTCAACCAATTCTATATTACTATCATAAAGTAAAATTTCAGTTTTTTCTTGAGTCTATTAGTAAATTACTATATTTTACAAATTACTTACAAATGAAGAGCTTAGAGCACATTATAAATTTGTACCTTGAACTAATTCTGCTTAATTATTTGTTGTATTACATTATTACAACAATTATGTAAATTCAACATTTTGTGTAAAATTAAACTAAAAAAAATAATTTTTGTCTTTTTTTAATGATTCCCACACACAATGCCTGTTTCAGTTAGTTTCTAAATTTCAAAAATGTCTGAATGATGTATATACTACTACTTTAAAAGATTTAAAGTTACACCTATGAATAAAAAAGATAATAAGGAAAAAATATAAGGTTAATGATAAAAATACAACTTGCATAAAACATTCATGAAAGTGAACTTATCAAAACATATGCACACTATTTTAGAACATGCTATTGTTAATACTGAAACAAATTTTGTGACTAGATTTCACTTGACACAGTATTACAATTTCATAATATTCAAAGAGTAAGAATGTGTTACAGAATTATTCTAAACTGTTTTTAAATGATCCTTAAACCAAGTATAAAATTATAAGTAAAATTTAAAGAAAGATATTTTATAAAATTAGTTGATGCTCAATTACAAATTTAATCAATTTGTCTTATACATTTAAGAACTCACTGTAGGATGAATAATAATCATAAATTAATCCGTTTTAACAATTTAAATTCTGTATGATTCCTAAAAGTATTGTACAAGCAGCATATATTTTCTTTACAATGATTTAAATCATATTTTGTTTACATTGATTTAAACCAAATAATAGATGGTTATGATGCCTACATACTACACTGAATACACAATAGTTTTAGTTCTTAGGCAAAAAAGGTTTATACATATAAAGAAAGTAGCAGGTTAATTATCAAGATAACTTAGTTATTCTAATGATGATCAAGCTCTCTTTTTTTATAAAGATATAAACAAGTTCATAGAAAATAATTTTTTTAAGCTTTGTTATTTTGTTTTAAACACCTTAGTAAGTTGCCAGCCACCCCACCCCTCCAAAACTTTTCCTGGCTAAGGCACATATGGAAACTATATTCATCACTGGCTTTAGTTAAAATAATACCAACATAAAAATTCATCACATTCACCTCATGAGTATTCCTGGATACTCACCATGATAGGTGCTTTACTATTTGCATATTTGATTGAATGTACTGTAAACATAGACCTTATGTGAATGACACAGCTTCCCATTCAAATTATCTTAAAATATTAACTAAGTTCAATAATGAAAGCAGTTTCCATATCAGAGTTTTTTCTGTTTATCAACAGACTGAGGACAAAGTTCAATCAAGTTAGGTCTGTATATAACTTCTTACTTAAGTTAAAAGTGATCTTGTATGGCATATAAAGAATTAACTAAAAGATCTTTAAAGAAATCTGTTTTTATCCAAGTAATTTGGCAAACTTTATATGGTCCTAGCCATTTCGATGTTATCATTATTTTACAGAAGAAATATTAATAAAATAAATAAATAAGATACTAACAAACAGTTTGGATTAGTTTGAAAAACTAAAAGAAAAAATATATCACAATTAGGCACAAAAGGTTTTCAGTTGGTTTCAAAGGCACTTGTTGGTACTATAGTTTAACCCTTACACTTATAAAAACAACAAAACAATATTACTCCTAAACACACACACACACACACAATTCTCCATATTATATAACAGAAATATCCACTTTCTTTTGAATTGGAAATATTTTTTTTTTGTAACACACCTGTTTGCTTCAAATAAATCTTAACAGCATAAATAATTAGAACTTTCAAAGTAGATAACCACATAATTATAAAATGATAACATCGTTACCAAAAAAATAAAAATAAAGCTGAAATAAAAATGATGCTAACATACCTAAAACTTTTAGTATGGATGTTACTAAGCACGTCTAGATGTTTTTTACTCAATTATGATTCATCTATTTGTTATACATCTAAAGCAAAATAAAATGAAGTTATCACATATGGTCAATGTAAATAACTGCCTTTCTAAATATAAACTAATATTTTTGTTTAGAGAACATCTGTAACAACATTTAATGCAGGGTTACAAGCCATGTTTTCTATCATGTCAGGATTTATTTGTCAGCACTTAAACTCAATTCTACAGATAAAATATTTGTAATCCTGATGTTTATCTGTTGCAATGACAACTTGTATTCAGAATTGCATCTGTAAAATATCACTTAATTTCATAATTAAATGTGCAAAATAATTAATAAGACAGAAAACACACACACACAATGTTAGAAAACATCTTTCTACACTATTGTGCTAAATAATTCAGTGTTGGATTGAAATAAAAACAAAAAAATGTTTTAGACTTAGAATTACAAAATATATTAGACATTTGAAACACACAAAGCAATAATGTTAATTTTTATATTATTTTCCCATTCCAGAACACACTGAAAAATATATCTTAACATAAATTATACAAGTAAAAGATTTTTTCCATGTGTAATTCTCACAATTACTCATGTATATATCATTTCAGAATCACGTTATGACAATCAAATCATGATACTTAGAAAATTCAATGGTTTGTGCACTTTAATGGAAAATGTAGTATATGAAAAAAAATGGTACTGACTTTTAAATAGTTCTTAATAACTGACAAGTTTTACAATTTGAATAGGGACATGCTTTCATATATAAAATGTTCTTACCTAGGAAAACTTCACAATGAACCTTTAACGTCAAATTATTGAGGTTTAACAAAAATTCTGTTTTGATTTGTTTAGAAGTAACGGTATTATCAGAAACTACCTTTTTGATATAACTTCTCTTTTTGTCTTGTCAGTTCATTCCAAATTTAACTTATGAAGTCTGCCTTCCATTAAGAATTTTGGTGATATATTCAAACAACAGTTAATTGTTTAATCAGATTATTTTTATCTCAGTTATTTCTGTTTATCTGATAAATCTTTTCTGCATCATCACTAACCACTGATAATTTCAGTGCTCATTATTTCTACCATCTCTTTTCAAGCCATTATCTTAATTTTTATTTTTTTCATCCTCTTTGTGCTTCAGATTACCCTCCATGTCTTCTTGAAAATTATTTAATTGGTTAATGTTAACATTTTTATCAATATCGCCACCAAAAAGCCCATCATTTCTCTTCTCTTGAATATTTTCTTTTTGGTGTTGTACTTTTTGCAACTGTTTAAATGCTTCTTTAAGTTGAATCTCTATGTCTTGATATTTTTTCTGCCATTGCTCTATTTCTTCCTATTTAAATAATGTTAACAGCTTTAATTACCAATTTAACTTTTGTCAACAAAACATTAAAGCAGTTTATTCATATAACGTTTTCAGATATTACAAAAATATGATTTAAAGTCTTGTAATTTCATGCAATCATTTAAAGCTGTAAATTTTTGCATATTTTCATATGCTTCTCCAATTACAGCATATAATTTTGTAAAATGCTAATCTTGATCCAAGACAAGACTTGGGTTACTACTTTGTACAAAAATTCTGACAGAAATGAACATGGCCTAAAATAATTACAGTAAAAAATTTCCTAATTACAATCAGTAAAAGCAAAAGATGTGGAATCAACAGAATAAACATACAGAAGGTCACTGATAACATCAATTAAGGAAATATCTTCTACCTCCTGCAAGACAATAAGTCTCCACATGAGGAGTCAGCTCCTGTCAGTGTAATCCTGGGATTGTAACCTAATACTCAACTCAATAATTACAATACCAACAACAAAAAAAGAAACTAAAATAAATAATTCAACATATGAAAATGTGTGACTACTAAACTATTTCCTAAAAATGTTAACAACAAAATTAACATTTAGAAAATACAGACATCTCAATAAAATAAAAAATAAAACAGGAACAAAAATAGCATGACTTGCTTTTAAATATTCTTTAAAATTCATCAACAGCATTATTCAAACACAAGATGAGAGCTAAATTCTCAACAGCACCAGTTCAGGGTATTTGTTGAAATTACATATAGTACTTGGTCATTTGTATTTTAAATCATATGAAACATTTTACCCTAGCCAAAAGATAATCATGCTTGTACATCTTAACATGTATATATACTATAGCTAATGTTGACCTTAGATGTAAATTGCAATCCCACAGATGTATATACATATTATGTAATTATACTTCACTGAATGTCTTTTTTCAATAACAAGGGAGATGTAAAACATGACATCTTTTTCAGACTACTAAATTATTCAATTATTCTTGTACTTCTCTTGGTCTTTCCTTGAATTAATTGGAATGCAAGTGCAACTTTTATTTCCCCAGTAAGCAATTACATGGTATTTCAAATAATTTATATAAACAGAAATACATCTGCATCTAATGTGTGGCTTTGTGAATTATACTTTAGTGCTATAATTAATATTTACTACCCTAGTTATAGTTTTTACTTCACTTTCTCCCCATTTCAGAAAATTTCTACTTATTAGTTAAAATAAATCCTTCAGAATTAAACATACTTGGACAAGAAGATTTTAGTATTTGGGTACCAAATATTGCAGGATACCAAAATATCATATTGGTGGCAAAGAGGTGAAATGCCTATTAATTGACCCTCATAAGAAATATTTAGAATCTTAATTTCCAGCCTAGTATCTTGTGTTCTTTTTGTTTTTATGAGGGAAAATTATATCATTAAGTTTTATAAAATTCTTTTTCTTATATGTTAACGAAATTTGGCAGATTATCAGTATACAATACAATGCTTTTATTTGCAAAATATCAAATTTCTTTGATTAAGCCTTAAGGTTTGTAAGGCAATGTTTTCTCATGCCTTTTTTTTCTTTTCTCATGTTGCCTATCCAACATGCAAAGTAATTTTCATTTTAAGATTAAAAATACTTTTACGCATCAGAAAATTTTCAAATTTCACATACAAAATCTTTATAATGTCCAAATAATTATTAAATATTTAATAAGAAAAAAACTTTATTTTTATCTGTTATTTTCACTAACGAATCTCTGTATTGGTTCGGTAGATTTGACCGATCTTGTAACCACCATAACAAATTAGGAAATAAATATAAATTATGCTTCTTTCATTCTAGAATGA